CACACACACACACACACACACACACACACACACACACACACACACACAAGTTCAATGAGTTGTTAGTTCATACAGCTCAGCTTTCACATATCCTCTGGCTGAAATGAAAGACGTCTTTGCCTCCTTTCAGAGAATTCGACAGCCACGTAGCTACTTTAAGCTGTTCCCTTATTCACAAAGGGGGTCGCCACAGTGGTCAGGTCAGCTTGTTTCTGATTGGCAGATTGTTTTCTTATATTCTTCCTGATGCAACTAGGAAGGGATGTGTGTCTCCTCCTGGTATTTGCCAAAAAGCGATTGCAGAAATTTAAACTGGCATAAGTCACTTGATAAAGAATATAAATAATTGATATTAAGTTATTTTGAGCCAGAAAGAATATTCCTGTCAGAAGCTGCAAACAGTTTTTGCCTGAGTGACTGTTATCTATACAGTTATCATTTTTCTATCAGAAAAAATGTAACAAATATGACATCCCAGTTTTATAAATATACTTGATTATAATGTAGAGTCATAAAGTAATACATCACGTAATGCTCACATATTAGATTAGATTAGATTTTATATATGACCCCTTCATTAACCCGGTTCACTAGTGTATTTACCAATATAAACAAAGTTAATCGACATTTAAAAAGCACAGAAATGTCAGAAATGACTTTTTGCCACAACACTGGGACCAAACCGGAGGATTTTTCACTTGTTACACAAATGTGTAAACCACTACACTCCTGTTCTAAACATGGCTGTACCCACCTAGGCCCACGCTGCTGTTCTCCAGTAGGTAACTGAGGTGGTCAAACATGGCCTTCTGATTCTGACGGCTGATCCGGCAGAAGTAGCACAGGAAGCGACAACAGCTGGCCACCATCTTGGGAAAGGCAATTTCCTGAAGGGTAGGATAAAACAGAGCCTAAGAGGCTCAAATGCCTTCACTTGGATATTAATAAGAGTAAACTGCATCTTTTAAAGTTTTGAAATGACTGCAGGCAGCAGCCATGCTTTTATGAGTGGACATGACTACTTTTATCCCTGGATACAAAAGGGTCCCTCGAAAAGCAGCTGATCATAAGTGGTTTTGGAGAAACTGTTGCTTCACTCTGGGGAACTGAGTTTACAGTAATGACTTCCTTCATGCATGTTACTCTAAACTCCCCCCGCATGTCTCGGCTTCTAATTGATGCGTAAAAGGCCTGACATCGTCACACGCTGCCAGCCCGATTCAGTCTGCCCTTTCTGCCCTTCTGCGTAGTCAGGACCACGTCCTCATTAATGCAAACCTGCTCTGCGACCATGCTTTACACACAAAGGAAAGCATGCAAGACTGGATTAAAACACAGTTTCTGCTGAGATGGTGCTACAGACTCCATGTGGGTAAAGCAGAAGATGTTAAACCTGGGACTTGTCTCCTCCGAGGACATTGACCATGACCTCCATGACAGTCTCGTGCATGCCCAGTATTCTCATCAGGTTCGGGTGCTGGTAGAAGACCTTGTTGTTCATAATGTCACTAAAAAGCACATGAAAAGAAGCAAACGTTGAATATTTAGGTGTTTGCTGAAAGAAAAAAAAAAACAGTTTTTCTATCTAAATCAGTTCCATACGAGTCGAATGACCTACCCCAGTCCATCAATCATGAGCTTTTCCTCCTCCTTTCCCATTCGAACTGACAGCAGAGACCTGATCTGACCCAGGGAGGCCAAGAGGTTGATGGTGTCCTGGACCGAGGCAGCGCTGATGGTGTACGTCTTCCTCATGGCTCGGAGGAGCTCTCCAACGCTGTCGTACTGCCTCCTCAGCAGGCTGAACATTTTGCGAACAAGTTCAGGGTCCTGGATGTGACACTCCTGGGACCAGCTGACCATGGTCTGAGAGATAAGCTCTTTCAGATTGGCTGGAAATAAACATGAGCAAAGACGACTCAGTTTCCTTTTATTAAACAAGCTGATTGCCTCGTATTAAACAGCAAAGCAGAGAAAGGCTCGCCGTGGCAGAAGCGCTCGCTGTATCGTTTCGACATCCTTACTGTACATCACGGGCCTTGAAAGGAACATTGACTTTGACCCTCTTCCCATTAGCTGGGGTCACAACAAGAGGCACTTAACATACAGTAGGCACACATTAATGCACAAATCCCCTCCATTAACCTGCCTACTTGACAGCGTGCTTTCTTTTTCACAACTGACGCTTGAATATTGAATAAAAGAACTTGCTCCATGTGGCAAATAAGACCTTAAGAACAGAAAGAAGGCTTTAAAAAACAACAACAAAAAACTGGATGCTTGTGTCACATGAGCTAATCTTTGAAAAATATTAGTTTATGCCAAAGCCACACTTTCAGTGGGGCAGAAAGATCCACTGTTATGTAAAGAATAAAGAAGGAAACAGGATATGGTTTTAATAGTTCTTTGCGGTTAAAAGGAAACATTTGTTTGGACAGCTCATATGTGGGTTACTCTTAAGGCTTCATTAAAACTGGATCAATAGAGTGTGTGGGTTTGTTTTTTTATGGTTATGAACACACAAAGAAAAAAACATCAATTAAACAGTCCGGTACCATAAACGATGGAGTCATTAACACACAGTTGATTTCCTTAACAGTACTGCAATTAGGTGATTGCGTTTTTAAGACCACGTGTCTGTTTGGTTGATTGGTTCTCTTGGTTTTCAAAAGACTGTTTGACAGCAGACTGTCAGTCAGTGCACGGGTGTGCGTCTGTGGTTTTTTGTGAGATGGGCGGGAAGCCAGCAGGATGGCACCAGTAACAGATCCTGCTGCCGAGAGCTGCGTGGGTGTCAGAGAAAGGGCAGATGCACGAGCTCGAGATTAAGAAGCGACATTTTTTTTCCTCTCTCAGCAAGCACCTGACTCGCACTCTGTCACACTATCAAACACAGTCACTGCCTGCTTTGCTGTTAAATATACTGCTCTCCCACTTTCTCCCTTACTACGCCCCAGTAAAGAAAGCTGGACTATCCAGAGTCACAGTGACGGAAACACACACACAGATCTCCTCATATCTGACCATTAAATGCTCCTACAGGATGAACTAAACCAAACAGCTTCTGTGCTCCTTTTACTTCATTCCTATGAAATAATGGCTGAGACAGTGGAGCCATCTGTATCTTCAGGGACTCCAGGAGAGAGATGACGTGATGAAGAGCAGTTACAGCCTGAATCGCAGCACCAAAATTTAATAGGTGTCTTCTTCACTTGGTGTCCTACTACTTCCTTGGAGCCTAAACCCACTTAAAAGGAAACACACCAACAAATGACAAACCGTAGACACTAAAGCACACTAAACCGTTTTTGCGCCACGGACCGGTTTACGTCCGACAATATTTTCACGGAGCGGCCTTTAAGGTGTTGCGGATAAATACAACAAAATAAAACCAGTACTGGTACCAAAAAAAAAAAGGTTTATTAAAGACCCCGGGAAACCGAGTTAACGTTAAAAAACGATAAATGTCACACCCGAGCCTCAACTCTCGCAGCCCGGTACCAAATGACTCATGGACCAGTAACGGTCCAGGGGTTGGAGACTGCTGCACTAAAGCATATATCTAGTTTTAAACGTTATCTACAATCCCAGACACATAATATACACAACAACATTAAAACCACTTACAGGTGAGGTGAATAAAAAGTATTGTTTCTTTGCAGTGCAACACTCTGCTGGGATTCATGTGAATGTTACTTTGAAAAGTATCAGTCAACTATAGATTGTTTTAAACACATCACACAAGCATCCATGGTCATTTAAATCCCCAGTGGATATCACAAAATAGCCCAAGAGGTTCTGTGGAAATGCAGCTGATCATCTGGAAGGTTATTGTGGCTTATCAGTGTATGATAAAAGGACAGAACAAAGCACGAGCCAGCTCAGTTTTGTAACTGCACGAAGAGGGACGATAACAGGGATGAGGACAACGGTCAGTTGGTCCACAACTTTGGTCCACACTAAAATCATTCAGCAACGACACCAGTGGATCGAATCTTTTCTTGTTGTGCCATTTGAATATCCTAACATCTAGGAAAACCGTGCTTGGTATACCATTTAAGAGATCGATCATATTTGTATATGTGATTTGTCTGTGGCACTTTCATGATGAGTAAATAACCTTAAACCACTAGTTTCAAGACATTTTGAACACAGGATGATTATTTGGGCAGGTTACAGTATGGTCACCATTAGAGAGGTGAAGTAGGGATGCTTTAGGGCTGGCAATTTGTCTTTAAGCACAAAATATCCAACTCTAAACAGAACTTTGCCCAGTTAAATAAGAACTTGTGGTCACTCACATTCAGTGGTGGTCCCTGATCCCTGAGAGAGGCAATTAGACACATCTCGCAGTTGCACTCTTGCGGCACACCCGTTATTTGGACGTGCTACTGAAACGTTTGTGTTGCTATGTTTGTGCTCGATCTCATGCAGTCTGCACGTGTCTGTGAGTTTAATCAGGTTAAGCATTGAGTTTTATCGCTGACGATTTTGGATTTTTTTTCCCTTTCGTTTCCTCGCTCTCATCTCCCGGAGCGGCTGACACAGGATCCTCTTCACTCTGATGCCTCTCTGCTCCACCAGGCTGCATATTTCCATAATGAAATTGAAGGGAAATTGAAATGGAAATGACTGCTACCCAGTGAATCAGTCCACGTGGCAGCGGCAGACTGAGGGCGCTACAAGTGCAATACAGAAACATCTCCTGTTAATTCTGCCCTCTCTTTTGTGCCAGGAACACAAAGAGAGACACGGAGGTTGTACAGAAAGAGGTGAACAAGGCCATGAATGAGCAAAATGTAGCAGGGACTAAATGTACAAGGCGTGAGCTCAGCACTTGTGCTTTTATGGGAAAACAACAACAACAAACCAAACCAGTTCCATGTCTTGCTCAAGGACACCTTTTTCTCTTGTTGTTGGACAGCTTGACTATGAAGTAACATCCTAAGAGTAAACTGCCTCCACTTGTGATTCGGTATGCTTCTGCAGTCATATTCCTCAAATTTGTTGTTCCCTGCTCACTAATTAACTTTTAATCCGCATCATCGTTAGCTCTTAACCAGGTTCAGGTGTAACGACACAGTAGGCACAGCACCATCATTCATGCAGCGCAATGAAAGCAGTGATTTCCTCACAGGGTGCAGCTTGCTCCATCCTCGTGGGCTCCTCTGCTTTGTGCGCCTGGCCTTTGATCCTGTTCACCAGCATAAGGAGGCGACCTTTAATCGATGTATCCTGCTCGTCTTCATCTTCCTCCATAGGGATTCCTGCATTACACAGAGAGAAAAAAACAACCACAATGTGCATGATGCGCAGGACAACTCTCCCTCTTCTTATTTCTTAGCAATTTAAAGTTTCTTTGTTTTTTTTGCGCAGGTGAGGCCGCCATTAAATCGGCAGCACCACGGAAGGGAGGGCGATTCAATTATTTATCAAAACATCAAGATGTCAGAGAAATTGCGGAAGCAGCGAACGTTCAAATCTTCTGCCTTGGCAGAAAGCGCTGCAGAGAGAGAGGAAGAAACATCTCATGAAGTACAGGCACAATTTTGCTGATGGCGACGCAACGGCAGCTAACAGTGCCAAGAAATATGTGCACGTAAAGCATTTTTCATAAGGATGTTTGTTTTGTTTATTATTCTTACATGATCAGCCATAATGCAGGTTTGTGCTGCCTCGGTAAAATAACTGTAATGAATTCTAAAAGCAATCAGGGAAATGTAACATTGCTGCATCATGTTGCAAAATGATGATATATGTGTTGTAATAAACATAAACAGTTTAGCGTTGCGGTTCATAATGTTTTTTGCAAGAGCTGCATCTCACCACAGTGGAGCTGCAGCTGATTATGAAAATCATAGAGTTCCTCCTGGATGTCTGCAGGGCACGGGCAGTCCTCTCCCATACTGAAGTTCAGCAGCATGTTGATCTAAAATGTGGGAAAATGTTCAAATTAGATGCATAGAGATACAAAAAAATGCATAGTTAGTTATTTTTATTTATACCTGTACAGTACTCTGTTTATAGTAACCATTGTCCTTAATGTAAATAAGTAAGAAAAATTGTGCATGTTTCTGTTCCGTGTCCTGTTTGTTGTATATGTGTCTTTCTGGCTGCTGTTACAACCAAATTTCCCCTTGTGGGACAATTAAAGGATTATTCTATTGTATTCTATTCTATATACAAATTACTGCAGTACATTGTGCAGGGCTGGAGACTATCCCAGCTTTGTTATAATGTTGTTATTGCAGGAATCACAGAGAAAAAACGCAGCTCGAGTGGCTAATTCTCTCTCTGCGCTAACAGGCCGAAGGACACCATGACAAGCCATTAAACGAGCTGTGCTGCACTGAATTCTGTCAGCAGCCGTGACCTTAAAGAAATGCTCTATGTATGTGCACTCTTGTGCGGATGAGTGTGCCCTCCCGGGGAAGCAATGCCATCAAACCAAGACCAAGAGGAATGAATTTGCCTTGAAGCTTTGCTCACACACTCTCACATATAGACAAAGAAGAGAGCTTTATGAAACATTAGGAGCCAGAAGCAGCTCTGGTTCTCTCTGGGCTAAAAGAGGCAGAAAGAACTGAACCAAAATCTACATTAATCTCAAATTAGTCACGTATTCAGACAACAACGGTACTGACCACTCAGTTGAAGCCATGAGCCTGCAGGTTTTCCGTATACTGAGTTATTACAGAGTCACATATTCTTTTTTTATTCTTTCTCTAAATGATGCACAATTACTGCCATTTACCCTCTGCAGCTATTTTGCACACTTGCGTCACACGAGCGTCACTACGATCACTCGGGAGATATGCGCACTGTCAGAAATCCATTAGCAGAGATACACAACTGCCGGGGTAAAGCTGTCACGAGGGAGCAAAGTGGTGCTGTGGTGGAGAAGCGCAATACATCACCTCTTTTTTAATGCTTTACGTAAAAATGGAATAATCTGATGAGTGTCGGGTTTTAAAATTTGGTAAACACACTGAACAAAAACAATACGACACAAATGAAGGTAAAATGTGAAAAATTAAACACACCCTTATTGTTTCCTTTGGGATTAGGAGGGTTAGTGGCAGCTAGGTGCTGTTAATCAAACACACTCAACTCATTGATCATCAGTAGGCAGATGTTTACTAGTCTGGAGATTTCAGGTGTGTGTTAACACAATGCCTTAGACCACCAATGGTCTTAGAGAAGCAATAGCCAATAGCCACGAGGCTATTTCCAAACAGTTTGAAGTCAATCACTCTGCAGTGATTAAGATTATTCAGTAGTAGCAAACATTCAAGACATCCAAGAAAATTGAGCCCAATTTCGGATGTGCAATGCTCACAGAAGGCCTTGTGGTAAATGTTCAATTTCATGACACTATAAATACAAAAAGACTGAACAAGTAAGGGTTGTTTGGAAGAGCTGCAAGAAGAAAGCCATTTCTCTCTACAAAGAACAAATCAGGAGAATACTTTTGTGATTTCTATGCACTGTGTATCATTGAGATGTTTGGCCATATTGCACAGTGCCAAATGAAACACAGCATATCAGCACACAACAGTTCTTACCACTTGTCAAGCATGGCGGTGGAGGGAGATGATTTGGCTTTTGTTTTGCAGCTACAGAAATTGTGTAGCTGGAAAAAGTCTATGAACTCTGTATTTGAAAGTCAAATGTGAGGCCGTCTCTCCAACAGCTAAAGCTTGTACAAATTTTTGTCATACAGCAGGATAACAATCCCAAACACAGCAGTAAATCTACAGCAGAATGGCTGTAAAAGATAATCATCTAAACTGGAACAGGCCAGTCAGTGATCGAAATGCTGCATTTTACTTCCTACTTTGGGATCCGCTGGCTTAGACCCGGCGTGCTTCTTCTCACCTGTTCTTGAGGCGGTGATCTGAACTCTTTGGTCTTCTTTGCTGTAACAGCAGCAGACATATTGAGGGCCAGCATCAGCTCATTGTAGCGGAACTTCTGGTTGTACTGCAGCTTGGACACGAAGCTGTCAGAAAAGGACACAATGGCCTCGATACGGTGCTTCAGTTCGCAGTCACAGAAATAGTGAAGCAGCTCGCACATCTGGAGAGGAGGCACACAAACAGGTACGCTTCCATCACTGTTGTGACAAAGCAGGTGTTAGTTATCAAGAATGACAGAAACATATCGAGATGCCTTATGGCTTCACATTATCCCACTTGTTAAAGAGATATTTACTCGTGAGATCATTTGTTCGATACGAGACGGAGCTATTTCATGTTTGGCTGATCTCTGAACGGGCCTATTACATTAGAGCAGTTACGGAGCATTTGAGAGGACAGCTGTGTGGTTAGTTCGTAGCTGTGGATTGTCACTTTAAGATTACAATGTGCATCGATCTCACATGTTTTGGTCATTTTTATTTGTCTGTTGTGTATACAATTGTGTGTGTTTTCACGATCACCTGTCGTTTAACCGGCTCTGGCAGCCTCTTCTCCAGCAGTCCTTCCATTGGCTGTTGAGCCTCTTTGATTGCCTCTTCTTCTCCAGCTTCCACCGCCTTTTCCTCTGCCCCTGTTAGTCCCTCTTTGTCTGTGGCCCCCGTGGCTCCCTCCTCTCTTGCCTCCTTGAAGACGCTCGGGTCAATGAGCAGTAAAATCTTACGAACGTCCTCGCTTCCTAACACACCCATCGTCAGCAAGGTGCTAATGAGCTTCAGGATTGGAACAAACTGGTGCTCCACGCATCCTCCGACAGGATCTCGGATGTGGTGCCCTCCGCTTTGAACAGCCTCTGTCAACATCGAAATCGCTTTCTCCTTCAGTGCATCCAGTGGGATTTGGGGACTGTACAGATGCTCCCGTTTGGTGCTGATGAAGCACGGTGGGGTAAAGTTTAGGCGTGGTTTCAGGGAGGTGCTAAGCCCCACCCCGGGCGGGAGGTGCTTTTTAGAAGCATCAGAAAAGAGACGAATGGAGCGGGTCTCGGCCGTGACAGGAATGACGAACTCATCTTTCATCATGAGTCGTGCCTCTTTGGCTGTCTCCAGGTGGGTGCTAATCAGAACATTGTAGAAGCCCTCGCGTAACATGCCAGACAGGTACTGATTGTCGATGGTGTACAAGAGCTGTGATTGGTCCAGGTGGCTGCAAAGGGCGTGGGCCACACGAGTGTTTCCCAGAGCGCAGAGGGCACAGTACAGTTTCAAGGTGTGATAGTGGAACTTCTTCATGTCCTCCTGCTCCGAGAGCTCCATGACGTCAACGCACCTTTCATTAAAAAGAGCAAGAGTTAGCAGAATTCATGATGGTTCATAACACGAAGTTTGTGATCTAGTCTACTTGGTGGTCAGGGAGAAACTTTAAAAACTCAGATTTTTCTATCTTAGGGATTTTTTTTAAGCCAGTAAGTTGCTTTTTACATCTGACAGCATCCACTGTGAAATTCTCAAGGAGCATCCTCTAGAGCTAAAAAGTGAAGCCAGTTCAGTGCAGTTGGAATTGAAATGGTCATTAAAGATGTCTCCATAAGTGAGTGACTCTCAATAAAACCCAGTCTTAAAGTGTCCAACGTTACCATGGAAGGTTTACAACCTGGTATAAAAAAATACTATTAATGTGAAAATCCAAGGTGACTTACATCTTTAGTTATCGCATCACAAGATTTTCAGAAAACTTGACCTTCAAGGTGACTGAGATTCAAATTTGCCTGACATTTCTAACAGATATGGTATTATTGTTATGGTATCAATTTGAAAACCCTACATCGCCTCATTCTCTAGTTATTGTGTTCACAAACTTAGCTGCCTACTTGCCCGGCTGGGTGAGGCTTTCACAGCTGAGGGTTAGAATGATTTTTCCCTCTACAGCTAATTTACCCCCCTTCACACTAACTGTGAGGAGCATGGCTGCTTTCACTCACAAGGTGGCTGCCCGCTAGCTGCTAAGCTTCATGCTAGCTAATCTGAGTCACTCAACCATTTTTGTGTTGTTGGTGCCTTTTCTGCCTGACAGAAAATATGGATAACTGTGTGGTGAAATTACAGTAATTTATTAGTTATGTTATTGGTGGTTTGTTGCTTACCATTAACTAAGAATCATGTGTTTATGTGATGTAGGTTACTAACCAAGTTTGCTAGTCATAGCTAATGGCACTGCACTCTAAACTCACGTCTTGCTCTTAAATTTAAAAGGTTCAGTGGCCAGAATCTTAACAGTTATACGTCAGAATGGAAGGTGATAATAACTTGAAACTCCCCGTCCCTTAATCCTTCTGGTTGCTTAATACACTTGTCACAAACAGTTAAAAAATCAGCACGATGATTTAGCGAAGCCCACGGTGACAACTTCAAACCTGTTTTGTCTGTCTAACAGCTTATAGCCGAGGACATTTTAATACACAGCGACATAAAACTGAGGAAAGCAGAAAATCCTGAGTGACTGTTGAGATTAAAAAAAAAATTACTATGTTACCAAAAAATAAAATATGACTAAATCACTTTATTGCAATGTGTGCTGATGGTTACAGGAAGCTTGTCTTTTTTAAGAGTTAAATGAGAATATGAATACCACTGTCATTACTTTAAGCTAAAAATAAAGCTAGATGAAACAGGAAATTAGCTTTAAGAAAATAGAAATGGGGCAAAACAGTTAGCCTTGTTCTGATCACAAAACAAAAAGAACTTAGCAGATCAGTATTTAGTACATCTTTTGTTTAAGAATAAAGAACACAAGTTGTGTTACAACAGGCAGTTGCATGCTGTCTCTGGTCCTCGCTAAAAAAGGTTTGAAACTTCCTGTATAGATTAAACATTTAAGATACTGTGTGCACTGACTAGTGTGCTTTAAAAAGTAACAAATCCAGCTTATAAGCGAACTAAGCCTTGTTTCACACCTGTTCTCTTCAGGTATGTGCACTGCCAACATCTGCAGGGGCTCCATGCACTGAACCACCCATCCATGCCTCTCATTAACCCTGGCCGTTTCCACTTTGAGGAAACTGTTGGGCATGCGGCTCCACAGCACGGCGTTTATGGTCTGGACATCCAGTCGGGGCGGACACTGTGGAACCGGGTTCTTATGCTCACTCTTGAAGATGGCTGATGACAGAGGCATGGCGTTCTGGAGAGCACACAGAGACAGCTGATGGGAATCCTGTCTGAGCACAGCATTCATTTCTATGGTATTGCAGACACAAAAGTAAGCCTGTTGTAATGGAAAAGTAAAATTAGGAGCCACGCACCTTTATTTTAGCCAGTTCAAACTGAAAGAGGCTGGGGCTGGTGGGTCGCACAAACACAGCGGGGAAAAGCTTGGTGTTTGGTTCCACCTGGAACAGAGAAAAGTGAAAAGAAAGCAAACAAAAGGTCCAAACAGGAAGTAAATATCAAAAGCTTGAGAAGGAGCTTGAAAGCGTGACTTAAGGAAAGCAGCTTAATGATGCATCATGAAAACTCTGCTACTTAGTGCAGTTTAGTTTGCCTGTGTGTGTGTGTGTGTGTGTGTGTGTGTGTGTGTGTGTGT